GTGCCATCAATGCGCAATAGGCACACTGTCTTTTCCCGACTGAGAACAAGACCGTTGGATTCGAGAATGCCCAATGCTTTGCTCGCCTGTGCACACGCTTGACTAAGCTCCTGGAGACTCTCGATGTTCCATCGCATGTGGGTGTCATCTGCGAAGAAAACACCATGTTGCTGGCACCAGTTGGCACCAAGCTGTTCATCCAATTTATGAGTCAGGAGCACAGAGATGCAACACCAAAGCGTTGGTGATAATTTACACCCCTGCCTTATACCACGGATTGAATCATATGATTCAGTGTGGCCGTCCTTGAGAACATGGAAAGCAGTGGCATGAACCCAACTCATAATGACATAGCTCAAGTCAGCTGGTACACCTAGGAAAGCCAGGGCCTCTTCCAACAGATGTCGTCCTATACGATCGAATGCTTGTGAGAAGTCCGCGCTGACTTGCAACCCGCCAACACAGCCTCGTCTGGGAATGCCTGCCCGAAGTTCGTATAACGATCGCCCTTGGGCTTTGGCTTTCTCCCGTACCTGACTGCAGTGCTCAAACACAATGCTGAGTGCTTGTTGTGGCGATCGACATGGGAGATATCCAAACATATTCATGTGCCGCGTGTGAGGCTCAAGATATGGAAAAAGTCGTTCCTTGATCAGGCCGCTCATTGCTTTTCCTAAGGGCTCCAATAAGGAGATCGGCCTCATATGCTCCGGCTTATTTCCAGACTTGTTGGGTTTACTGAGAAAAACCAGCCAGGAGGCAGCCCACTCCACTGGAATAAAAGTGCCCTGAGTGGCCCACGATGTTCCCACTACCTCTGCAACGAAGTCGGCAACTGGTTTCGCCGCAGCCTTCCAAAGTGCATGTGGTGCGAGATGTGGGGGTGCTGCTTTGCTTCCCTGCAATGCACGGAGTGCACCTTGAATTTCGTCCCTGGAAAAGTGCATGCATGGTCCAATCGCGGGCCAGTCCTGTCTACTGAATGTGGTGTGGTATCCACATGTCGAACCGTTTACACTCTTCCAGTAATTTGCCAACTCTGTTGCCTCCTCTGCCGGCTCCAACAGTCGTCCACTCTCGGCTCGAAGTTGTGCTCGCTTCTTGACCTGTTTCGGAGCAATTCGTTTGATGAGAGTGAAGAGCCCATGTATGTTTTCTTTTCTTGGATCCGTGCCGTCCTCGGCCTCTCTGATGATGTCATCCATACGTACCCTGCGAAGTCGACGACTCTGTTTTTGCAAAGCTTTGTGCATTTGCATGAACTCCTTATACTTGCGCCACGCCTGAATGATCCCACGCATGTTGCGCGACTGAGCCTTCATCTGTCTGTATGCCGCCCACATGTTCTTGACGCTCATCACATGTGGCCGTTGCGCCCATTGCGGTGGCCTGCTGCTCGGCCTCCGAAGTTGAAAAGTTTCATCAGCCACCCTGAGCAGGATCTTATTCAGGTCAGTGGGGTCGTATTGTGTGTGCGTCTGTTGCAGGGCCTGCTCCACTTTCATGGAGTACTGCATGCGAATCTCTCCATTTTCCTTCAGGAGCTTGCACAGGGCTTGCCGTTTCCACCCCGGCCATGCTGCTTGCTGCGCTGATTGGTGCTTCTTGTAGGGGGACAAAGTGAAATGCACTCGAACAGGAAGATGCCTACCACCCTGCCTCCACCGAGCGACTGGAAACTGCCGAAGATGTGTGACCTTGCTGGGTGTGCCGCCCGATCTGCGAGTCAGAATGTAGTCGACAAACGACTTTCTGGCCTGCTGGTACCCGTCATGGATGTACGTGTACGTCTGCATCCTGCCGAAAGTGTTTGGCGCAATCAAATCAAAGTCAAGCATGATGTCGATCATGGCCTCGGCGTCGGGCGAAGGCACCTTGTCCTTCAGCATGCCAGTACCTAGTCGCGGAGCTTGAGGTTTTGTGACCGTGTTCATGTCGCCGCCAATCATGAGAAAATGAGTGCTGGGTATGTGTCCGAGTGTGGCACGTAGCGCTTTCCAGACCGGGGTCCGTTTTTGCATCACTGCCTGATCTTCCGTCTCCCGTCCCCAACAAAACTGGTAGATGTTCAAGAGGCTCAGCCACCCACCTTTGCTACGGACCTGAACATGAAGAAGATGCCCTGGAATCACATGATGGAAGCGCAATGTATCTCGATCCACGAAGTCGGCCCTCACAAGCGTCATAACTCCTGCGTGTGCTCTCTTGGCCTCCTTCAAACCGCTGTTCACGCAGAGCCACCCCCTGCTCTCATAGTCAAGCTCCCCCAACATCCATGTTTCTTGTAGAAAAACTGCATGCAAATTCGCATCAGAAATCCAAGTAAATAACTCATCTTTGATGGTACTGAGTCCGCCACAGTTATAAGAAAGAACATGGAAAGGAACATGATTGTTGTCGATCTTCTGCTCACGCGACCTACTGCTACGCACCACTTGTCCCTGGCGATCATTTGAAACGTACTCGCAGCACAGGTGCCTGAGACTCAGGCACTGTCCTCTGTACCACGTGTATCCATGCTGCCCTGCACGCTGCACAGCTCTTCTGTATGATCTCTTGCGAGCACGTGTGTATCCCACTGGCTGGCCTGACACACCAAGCTTCGCAGGCCCTCTTGTCTTGTGATGTAAGTGTTGTGACCTGCTTCTGGGGCCCTGGTGTGAGTGATGACCCCAACCCTCACCTCTACCGCTGTGCCCTGCTCTGTCAGCAAGATCATTGTGTGCGGCCTCCCGACTTGGGACGGGAGAGGCCCCAAGAAAATGTTCTGCAGTCGCTCTGTTGATAGGAAAACTGTTAGACATGTCCATGAAAACAAGCCAAGCGAAAAGCAATAAAATCAAGCACCAATTGTAAATCACCATGCGAAAA